CAAACAAATGGGGAAACAGTGGAAACAGTGACAGACTTTATTTTGGGGGGCTACAAAATCACTGCAGATGGTGACTGCAGCCATGAAATTAAAAGACACTTGCTCCTTGGAAGAAAAGCTATGACCAACCTAGACAGCATATTAAAAAACAGAGACATTACTTTACCAACAGAGGTCCATCTAGTCAAAGCTATGGTTTTTCCAGTAGTCAGGTTTGGTTGTGAGAGTTGGACTCAAAAGAAATCTGAGTACCAAAGAATTGATGCTTTTGAACTGTGGTGTTGGAGAATACTCTTGAGAGTCCCTTGGACTGCAAGGAGTTCAAACCAGTCAATCCTAAAGGAAATCAGTCCTGAATATTCATTGGAAAGACTGATGCTGAAGCTGAAACACCAATACTTTAGCCACCTGTTGCCAAGACCTAACTCCTTAGAAAAGACCCTGATGCTGGGAAAGATTGAAGGCAGGAGAAGGGGACAGCAGAGGATGAGATGGTTGGATGGCATTACCGACTTGATGGACATGAGTTTGAGCAAGCTCTGGAAGTCGGTGATGGACAGTGAAGTCTGGCATGCTGCAGTCCATGGTGTCACAAAGAGTCGGACATGACTGAGTGACTTTCACTTTCACTTTTCCTCTTGTTCTAGGGGTAGGTGGTTTGGGAACTTTTGAAGAGCTTAATTGACAGACATATTTCCCCTATAGTGAGCAAAAATTTCTACTTTTAAGAGCTTCCTTATGCATAGTAGTTTCTTGGGTACCAAGAAGTAACATACCAAAATAGCTTCAATTTTAGCATAATGTAAATAAGAACTATGTTAGCAAACACACTTTGTATTGTAGAGTGTATAGGAAGTTTACTATAAAAAATCTAGCAGTAAACATTACTGCTTTTTGGTGAGAAAACATGGCACCAAAAGTAGTTACAGAATTCCCTTGAATAAAAATTTCAAAACTTTTCTGCCAGTCACCATAATCAATATTGAAAGAGATAAACTAAGAATGGGAAAAATATTCACAAAATATCCTTTGTTTATTAAAATATGTGCATTTGTATTTTAATATTTTTAAAGCTTTTACAAGTGCTAGGACTCAGCATATAGTCACATTTATGGCTATGATTTATAACAGCAGAAGGATACAAAGCAAAATCAGCAAAGGGAGAAGGTACATGGAGTGAAGTCCAGAGCAGACCAGGCACAAGTTTCTGAGAGTTAACTCCCCATGGAATCACACAGGATACTCTATATTCCCCAGCAAGGAGTTTTTACAACACATGTAAAATGCTGTCTTCCAGTGAAGCTTGCTAGACCCTCAGTGTCTAAGGTTTTTATTAGGGGCTGGTCAAATAGGCATGATTTACCTAGCATATATTGAAAGTTCAGATTTTCTGAAAGTTTGTTGTTCAGCCTAAACAGATGTCCAGCATAAACCCTATTGTTGGTAGAGACCACTTAGGCATACTCAGCCACTTTATCAGGAAATGATGGGGCTGTCTTGAAACCCAATCCCCAGATGCAAGACAAGGACTAACTGTGATATCAGACCTGTCAGATAGGGTAGTCTGGGCCCTGCTAGGGTAACTCTTCTATGCATCTGTGAATATCACAAGAGTATGCAAAAGAGGTGTTTTATCAAGGAAGCAATACCAACATATGAAATATGTTTAACCTCTAATGATTAAATAGTTACATGTTAATACAATCATAAGATAGCATTTTTCTTCTATAAAATTGATCAAGATAAAAATTATGATTTTAACCAGTGTTGGGAGAGGTATGAATAAAAGAGAAATTTCTTATACTGCTGGTAGAAATGTAAAGTCACACAAATTTCCTTGGAGGATTTTTTTGTCAGTATATCCTCCAAGTTTTCAAACCATGCTAACCCTTTGACCTAGCCTCTTTCAGGAATTCCTCCTCAGTGGTTAATCAGTTAATGTACTCCTAAGTCAGTGATTTGCAATGTTCATGTAAATTCATGTTGTGTAAGTCTAATTCCTGCTTTGGGAAAATATTCACGCTATACTGCTAAGTGAAAAATAGACATCTGTGCTTAATCTCTCTAGAATGTTACTTCCTCAGAATCTTCTATTTCCTGCTGTCTTTGAATTCCCCTGACTGTGGCTGTTTTCTGCAAGCCTCTCCTTATTATGTCTTTGGAGTGATTCAGTTTCAATTTGTTCATCCAACATATATAGCAATAATTTTTTCAGATGATCAAATCTATTTAAAAATATGTCTCTTTCCCACACTTTTCTTGTTGAAATCAAATATATTTATCAAGTATTCCCTGGAGATTTGTTTAAAATACCATAGGATAATCAGTCTTAAAGAGCAGGATTTTTACTTTCATTGTCAGATTAAATTCTAATTCTAAAAATATGTAATTTGGAGACCATAGTTGAATTGTGTATATAGCTAACTGGTTTTGTTGTTGTGAATTTACATGTCTTTCATTTACATGTATTTTCATTTAAAGACATTTACATGTCTTTACAGGTCTTTAACATAACTGTAACCACTAGTATACAATAAAGGCCTGTGCAAGTTCATTTGAAATATTTGCTTTTCAGATGTTAGTCCTTTTGCGCCTGGAGCAAGTTCTCGAAGTGATATCCATTGCCGGCATCAAGGTGTTAATATAACAGAAACTGGTCTTGAGGGACTTCTTTTTGGAATGCTAGACCGGGAGACAGACAGAAAATTATGTTCTGATATCCATGATACTTTGGGACATATGCTGTCATCGCTGGCTGTAGAAAAGCTTTCTCATTGGCTAATGCTTTGTAAAGATGTCCTAGCAGCTTCTAGTGGTATGTATTTAATATATATATTCTTAAAATAAGGAAAATTATTTATTTTTGATACATATCTATAGATATATACCATATATAGATATTTATACGTATATATAAATTTGAGCCTACATTTTTAAATACTAATAAGTTATAATCTATAAATCCCTGTAAAGGGATTAATTAAGGTTAAATTATATTACAAACTAATGAAGTCTGATTATTTTTTGGCAGATAACTAAGTTCAAACTAATTTTCATTTATTAAAATCCCAGATTACTGTCTTGTTCAACATAAGATGTAGAAGTAGTAAAATATGTAAATATTTTTGTTATTCTTTCCCTGGTTTTTCATTTCTATTTTTATTTATTTTTTTAAATTAAATATATTTAAGGAGAAATTTATTTAGACTGTGCTCTTCATTTATTGTAAGTTTCCTTGCTTTTTGCCTTTGTTTTTTGTTCTCTCTACATTATGTCTCTCTTCTGATCTTTATTTGGAAGGTAAGTTGAGGAAAGTGGCAAGGTAAGTTGAGGAAAGGATATGTAATATATGTATCTACCTTAAGATGTATTCATCTTAATCATTTATCCTAAGAATAGTGATGGCCCTATGCATAATGATGACAGTAACGTATGTTTCCTTGGTACCTTATCCTACTTATAGCAAAAGTTTAAGGTAAATAAATAAAGTGCATTTTGCAGTCCCCAGCCATGGAGAATGTCAGAGTTTGTGAATGCCATGGCAGGTTTTAAACTCAGATTTCAGGAATGCTGTTGCATATTTTTGAAAAGGTGAAATTGTTCATTACTGGAACCTTTTACTTTTTGATCATTTGTAAGCTTTTATACCATATATCGCCTGGATCAGATATTAAACGGAATCATCAGGAGATCATCAGGTTTAGTATTTTCACTTAACAAAATAAAGAAGCCCAGAGAAGCTGAGAGACTCTCTTATCTCATGCTTTGTTGTCTCTTCATCATCCTGTCATGTTTTAAAATATCTGAAGACATCGTATGTATTATTAATATTGAGATCTATATGTCAAAAATGCCTTCCAGTTTATTTTATTATGTGTAAGAAGCAGTAAAAGTCACAGAGAATTAAAAAAAAAAAAGTAAAACTGCATTACACTGTGTATAAAATGTGAATCTGATATAGGATACCAGTAAAGCACAATATGTTGTGAACACAGTGTCTTTAATCATGTCATTCATCAAATAGTCATCAAAACTTGTTCTTTGCTGTCCATTGGGGATCCAGAAGGAAAAAAATAACAGTCTGTGCTTTTGAAGATGTTCTAGTCTAGAAGACAAAGAGACAAATTTGTCACTCAAATAATTATATTTCCCAGTAGTGGAAGGATAGAGTACTTTGGGAACATAAAAAATTGCTATTCATTTCCTGAAGAACTAGGGAAAACCTCAAAGAAAAGGTCATTTTGAAACTGAATTTTATAGGAAGAGAGAGGGTTTTCCAAGAAGAGGCTGGTTGCATTAGTTTTCTGTTGTTATTGAAAGAAATGACTGTAAACTTAATGGTTTAAAATAACAGAAATTTATTAAGTTATGGTTCTGTGGGGCAGAAATCCCAGGATATCATAAACCTCTGTTGTTCTTCAGTCGTCCAGTCATGTCTGACTCTTTGCGACCACATGGACTGCAGCACTCCAGGCCTCCCTTTCCTCACCATCTCCCGGAGTTTGCCCAAGTTCATGTCCATTTCATCAATAATGCTGTCCAGCCATCTCATTCTCTAATGCCCTCTTCTCCTTCCGCCCTCAGTCTTTCGCAGGATCAGGTACTTTTCCAATGAGTTACATGTTCACATCAGGTGATCAAAATACTGAAGCTTCAGCATCAGTCCTTCCAGTGAATATTCAGGGTTGATCTCTCTTACGATTGACTGGTTTGATCTCCTTGCTGTCCAGGGGACTTTCAGGAGTCTTCTCCAGCACCACAATATGAAGGCATCAATTCTTTGGCATTCTGCCCTCTTTACGGTCCAGCTCTTAACAGCCATACATGACCACTGGGAAAAAACCATAGCCTTGACTATACAGACCTTTGTAGGCAAAGTAATGTCTCTGCTTTTCAACACACTGTCTAGGTTTGTCATCAATAAACCTCTATCAGTCCCCTAATTCTTTCCCCATTTTGGGTTTCTGCCCAGTGTCTTTCCCTTTCTCCCCACATTAGGCATTCATCTCCTTGAATTTGGGGAAAAGTTAGTGGTCTTGAATTGAGAAATGTTATAGGTAGAGATTGTGAAGAGAAGCAACAACAGCACTTTCATTCTGGGATCAGTTGCCTAGTTTTTCATTGGTATAGATTGATATAAATTGTAAATTAGGTGACAATACAGAAGGAGTAATGAATTTTTATTTACTTTTGAGTTAGCATAATATGAGTGGCTCATTTCAGTCCAGTTTCTTCTGCCTTAGAAATTTCCTCCCAAATTCTGGTAATAGTTTATTATGCCTAGTTTTTATTGATGATGTGTTTTTGCCTGTCTTAGGTGAGGAAGCACTGGGAACCAGAAAATTTTTTTCTCTCCCCTTTACTTCCCTTCCCCAAATCAATAGACTCTTTTTCAAACTTAAAATTCTAAAATTGGTAGAATTTTAGGTAGGCAGATAAAAAATTTGGAAGATACTGGTAACCTTCACTGTAGCAAAAATAATAAAAGCCTTTTAAAATAGAAGTTTTTTGGGGATCAGAATTGCCACAGAATTGCCACTGCTTCAAAAAGCCTGTGAAGGTCTTGTAGCCTCCTGAAGAATTTTAGAGTTCTTGAACCTGATAAATTCTTTATATAATTTCTGTTGCTATGTCTTTAAGTTCACCGATCTTTTCTTCTTCATTGTCTAATCATTGCTAATCTTATTCAGGGTATTTTTTACTTCAGATATCTTTTTATATCTCTAGAAATCTTAGGATTTCTTCATCTTTTGTTTAGGCAATGTGTTTATAATAGCTCTTTATAATAGCTGCTTAAAGGTCCCTAACTGAACTGAACTGAACTGAAAGGTCCCTATTGCTAATTGTGTTATCCCTTTCATTTTTGGACCAATTTCTATTCATTGCATTTTGTTTTTATTTTCTTAGTCATGGGATATATTTTCCTGCTTTTTTATATCTGTAGTAATTTTATACTAGCTGCTCAGTTCAGTCGCTCAGTCCTGTTTGACTCTTTGTGACCCCATGGACTCTAGCACGCCAGGCCTCCCTGTCCATCACCAACTCCCGGAGCTTACTCAAACTCATGTCCATTGAGTCAGTGATGCCATCCAACCATCTCATCTTCTGTCATCCCCTTCTCCTCCCTCCTTCAATCTTTCCCAGAATCAGGGTCTTTTCAAATGAGTCAGCTCTTCGCATCAGGTGGCCAAAGTATTTGAGTTTCAGCTTCAACATCAGTCCTTCCAAAGAATATTCAGGACTGATTTCCTTTAGGATGGACTGGGTGGATCTCCTTGCAGTCCAAGGGACTCTCAAGAGTCTTCTCTAACACCACAGTTCAAAAAGCATCAATTCTTCTGTGCTCGGCTTTCTTTAGTCCAATTCTCATATCCATAAATGACTACTGGAAAAACTATAGCCTTGACTAGACGGACCTTTGTTGGCAAAGTAACATCTCTGCTTTTTAATATGCTGCCCAGGTTGGTCATAACTTTTCTCCCAAGGAGTAAACATCTTTTTATTTCATGGCTGCAGTCATCATCTGCAGTGATTTTGGAGCCCCCCAAAATAAAGTCTGTCACTGTTTCCACTGTTTATCCATCTATTTGCTATGAAGTGATGGGACCAGATGCCATGATTAGTTTTCTGAATGTTGAGCTTTAAGCCAACTTTTTCACTTTCCTCTTTCACTTTCATCAAGAGGCTCTTTAGTCCTTCTTCACTTTCTGCCATAAGGGTGGTGTCATCTGCATATATGAGGTTATTGATATTTCTCCCAGCANGAATTTTGACCATTACTTTGCTAGCATGTGAGATGAGTGCAATAGTGCTTAGTTTGAGCATTCTTTCGCATTGCCTTTCTTAGGGATTGGACTGAAAACTGACTTTTTCCAGTCCTGTGGCCACTGCTGAATTTTCCAAATTTGCTGGCATATTGAGTGCAGCACTTTCACAGCATCATCTTTTAGGATTTGAAATAGCTCAACTGGTATTCCATCACCTCCACTAGCTTTGTCTGTAGTGATACTTCCTAAGGCCCACTTGACTTCACATTCCAGAATGTCTGGCTCTAGGTGAGTGATCACACCATCTAGCTAGCTGCTGAACATTGCAAATTTTAAGTTACCGGTGCTGGATTTTGTTATATTCCTTTAAATAGTTTTGAACTTTGTTTAAGATGTAGTTAAATTACTTGGTATCTTTTGAATTCTTCTGATACTTACTTTTATGCTTGATAGTATGGATCTAGGGCAGCCTTTATTTGAGGGCTAAAAGGAAAAGACTTCCCTTTTCTCCATCTAACCTTATAGAAATCTTTTCCAGAGTAGAGGCTGGTAAACTACAGCTTGCAGTCCAAATCTAGCCTGCAGTCTGTTTTTATAAATAGTTTTATGGAGCACAGTATAGCTGTCTGTGTACATATGGTCTATGTACAGGCTGCAACAGCAGAATTGAATTGTTATGAGAGAAATTACATGGCCGGGAAAACCAAATATGCTTATTATCTGGTTCTTTACGGAAAAAGTTTGCCAATCCCTGTTGACAAAAGAATTACAGACTCCATTGGGGAAAGTTATGGTAATCAGTTATTTTCTTCAAATATCATCATACATCCTATAATATAATCCATGTTATCATATTGTATAAAGGTTTACCACAATTCTTCAGAGATTATGATATGGAAACTTTCCTGAAAGTATATCTTTTTTATTTTTAAACTTGGTATGATAATATGTTAATCATAAATGTTTCTTAAAACAAATTCATTTTGTATGTTTTTTATTATTACACTTAATTTTGGAAATGTTTTCCTTTTTGCCTTCTATTTTTATTTTTAGATGATCTCTTGGTACTTCATCTCTCTGACCTAATTCGCATGGCATTCATGGCTGCAACCGATCATAGTAACCAGCTGCGGATGGCTGGTCTCCAAGCACTCGAAGACATTATCAAGAAGTTTGCCTCTGTGCCTGAGCCAGAATTCCCAGGTCATGTGATTCTGGAGCAGTATCAAGCTAATGTGAGATACTTTATTTGTTTCAAAATTAAAATTGATCGTTTGAGTGAACACCAAAGTGAAACTCCCCTGGAGAAATGTGTTTGGACCTGTAACCTATTTATTCATGTACTGTGCTTATGTGTTTTCCCGTTGTCTGTTACATAGTTAGGATCAGTTCACAGCTGAAGGAACAATAATATAAAACTTGTCACTATTTTTAAGTCATGAGGTAGTATTAGTGATAAAACTAGAATAGATGTTCCAGCCTGGCTTTCCATTCTTTTTTTTTTTTTCTGGCTTTGCATTCTTATGTTTAGATTTTTTAGTCATGCCATTTTAAAGATAAAAGGAACATTTAAAGAGTGTTGTGGATTTACTGCCTTTATTTTTATATGTCAAGACTTGATAAGCATTTTTAAAAATAAAAAGCAATTGTCTTTTGTATGCTGAAGGATAAATTAACTTTTAGTAGCAATGAAAACTATTACCAAAAGAACTGTATGTTTCAAAAGATTTTTTTTGTGCTCTAAACAGAGATATACTTGTTCCTCCTGAAATTTATACCTGTATTTATGTTCTTCAAAGGAGGCACAATAGGGACTTCCCTGGTGACCTGGTGATTAAGATATTACACTTCCACTGCAGAGGGTACAGTTTCCATCCCTGGGTCACATGCAGCATCCCGCCCCACCCCCACCCCCAAATAAAAGAATGCACAATGGATGTAATCCTAGAAATGGTGGATTATGTGAAGGAGAGAAAAACTTGTTAATAAGAAAAGAATAAACTATTTTTTTCCACTGTGATTATACCAAAATCGTGGCTTCAGTCACCTCGTACCTCATCTAACATCTATGCGCAAACATACACAAAATTTAAAAAAAAATTTTTTTAAAAAATACACAAAATTTAAAAGTGTGGATAATGTATAGTCCATTTTTTTCCATTATAAGTATAGGTAAAGAAGTTATACTTTCTAGTCCAAATGGCTGTAGAACGCTTTTATATAATGATTTAATCCCAAATACCCAATCTATCAGAATGGTCTTTTTTTTTTAATCTTCCTATTTAGAAATAATTAAAACCTACAGAAATAATTGCAAGAATAGTACAAAAAAGACCTTGTCTTAAAAAAAAAAAAGACCTTGTCTTATACCCTTCATCCTTCATTCACATTTGCCAATTGAGAATTTTGCCTCATTTGCTTTAACATTTTCTCTTTCTCTCTCTGCCCACAACATACACTCTCTCAGCTTTTTTTTCCCCCAGAGTTGTTTAAAAGTAAATTATCGAAATCATGTATCTTTACTCTTGAGCACTTTAGTCTGTGTTTCCAAAAGACAAGAAAGTTGTCTTACATAACCACAGAACAGTTATCAACTTGAAGAAATTCAACATTGATGTACTACTTTTATATAATCTGTCATATTCCAGGTTTATCAGTCAACCCAATAATATGTTTCATAATACATTCTCTATCTCCTTCAGTATGAGACCTCATAGCACCTCTGAAGTACGATTACTACAGTTGATCATTGAAATGCAAATACTGGTTACTTGCCATGTGTGTTTATTCACTGAGAGGGATGCTTATTTGATTTCCAAACTCCTGTTGATAAGCCTTAGTGACTGAATCTCTAGTGTAAGGGGAGAGATCTCAAATTAGGAGGTGACTATATCTAATTCCTTATTCACCTCATACGTATTAAATCTAATATAGCCAAGGATCTGTGACTGATACTGGCTTATTAAAATAAAGCAGTAAGCACAGTGGACCTGGTTAGTACTTGGCTGGAAAACTAAAGCTCATATTCCTTCATTTATTGCTCTGAGAGACGTACATAAATTAGTATTTCTTAAGCAACTTTCTTTTAAGACATCTTGTTTTGAAGTGAAATGATTTTTAAGGTCTTTTAGTGACTCTGTGAATTTTTAGTACTACTCAGTTATTTAAGGAAATTGAACCTTTAAAATAGCCTCAGTTATATGAGATTTGCCCATAAGGTAAACACTGTTAGAAATATGTTCAAGAATATGTAGACAGGAGAAAAATAGCAATTTCCTCTTATCTGTGGGAACATGTGGCTTTGTCAGAAAATCCCATGTACTATTAAAAATAAATGAAAAAAAAAAAGTCCTTCAGTTGTATCCGACTCTTTGCGACACCGTGGACTGCAGCACACCAGGCTTCCCTGTCCATCACCAACTCCTGGAGCTTACTCAGACTCATGTCCGTCAAGTTGGTGACGCCATCCAACCATCTCATCCTCTACTTATCTTTAAAAATGAAATGCTTGTACTCATTTTTCTAGGTGGGAGCTGCCCTCAGACCAGCCTTTTCACAAGATACCCCATCAGACATAATAGCAAAAGCTTGCCAGGTAAGAAGAAAACTAGAATTTTCTATATTCATCTTCTATAAATTAATAGATACCTTAGAACTTCAATTCCAAGAGAGAAAAATGAAATAGTCTTAATTTTTATCTCAGAAATATAGCAGTGACAGTTTCCTTTTTTATGAAATGATGAAGTAGCAACTACTAATCACAACTTAAAAAAAAATTTTATGCTGTAGCTGAGGTCACAGCTTTGGAATACATAGTTCTTGTGTTGTCCTATAGTAAATGGAGATGTAAAAGTCCTAAGACGGACTAGGGTAAAATCTACAATAATTGAAGAATATTGGTAATGGTAAGAAGTAAGAAGTAATGGTAAATAGATAGTAAAAAGGGTTTTTTTGACCACAGGTTGTAAAAATTCTACAAGTTTCTGTGTATTAAATTATCCTAAAGATAATTTTGCAACATGGCAATTTCATTGCAAAATTAATCCCAGGGGATTATTCTCAAACTGTTGTATCTGAAGAGAGTTACAAAAGCACACATGTTCCTACCCATTCAGTAAGTTGTCTTTTTCGTGCTCCATCCTGAAAAAGGATTTGTGCACTTAGCTCTAAACTTTCAGAAAATCTGATTCTTTATCTGCTAACCTAAGGATAAAAGAGAAACAAGTCTGTCCTTCCCAGTTTTTTGGAGTACAGGGCTGTAATCCATCTTTATTGCTTAGAATTCATAGTCAAGCGACATGTGGCCTCTATGAAGAGAATGTCTTGCTGTTTGCAATGACAAGTTTGAAATTCTGACTTTAGTCTCTCTATGGATAAATGAGTTGCCTTCTCCTCCTGTTAGTATTTATTTCTTTGAAACCTGTTGTCTTAATGGTGGTCTTCAGAGAAATGAACTTCTCCCACCAATAGCAGACCAGAGAGAGAAGATGAGGGAGTGTTGTTTAAGACGGAAGCTTGGGGATCATGGTACAAACCTTGGAGGTAGAGTAGGTAAGCCAGTTGGATTGGGACACTGACACACAAGCATCAGAAGTGGCAGTCAATGTATAAAATAAGTGTATCATGGTGGTGTTTCAGATTGTGATGTTTAAACACAACAAAACCTCCTAAAAAGCTCCTGATGATCAGAAAAGCAAAGGTGATTAGAACTTCATCTTGTGAGTGATTAGTATGAAAATTCCATGTTAGTGAATTTGCCTTAAACTTATTTCTTAGATGGCCGTGCTTTCTCTGTAAGAAGTGTCTTCGTTTCTAGTGGCAGGCTTAAAGTTTGACCACCTATCCTTCTGTTTCTGGGTAGAAACCTGCATTTGAAATAGCTGGAGCACTGGGTTGCAAGTTCCTTTCATTAAGGTTACCGAAAGAATTGGCTTTGGGCAGGTGATGAATCTTGGCATCTCTGCTTGTTTACTAGAGTAAAATCATGTTGAACCTGAAAATCAAGTATTAATAATTCTGAGAAATTATAGGAAAACCCTCAGATGTTTTCAATTAAGGACAATTGAGGACAGTAATCAGTAAGTTAAAAAAATAATTTAAAGCAGAGTTGGAATCATAAGCATAATACATACTTTGGATATTTTATTTCAACCTAAAGTTTATAAGTGTGCGTTCATTCACTTATCTTTTTCTTTTTCATTCTCCACTTTTTTGATACAAGGCCAAAGTCTTTCCTCGTAGTATGATTTTGTTGATTCAGTGTTGCTTTGTCTTTCTTCATGAACCAAATCCATAATGCAGTGTCTGTAGTTTCTGGTTTCATTTTCTTTAAAGTGGAGAAAGTACTTAGGTTTTTGCAAGGCAAACAGTGCCGAATTCTTGATTTTGACAATTTTCCTCAACATTACTTATGCTTCTACCAAACTTCAAAGTATCAAGTATCTCCAAAGTTATATTTTCTTTAGGAAGAACAACTTTTATTTTCACACTTATATTTAATTACTTTTTGCTTTAAATTTCAGTGAATTTTCAGCATTTTGTGACTGGCTTTTTTTTTTTTTGCCATCTGTATTGGTAATAATCAGTTTTTAAATGTCCTTATTGAATTTTATTTAAATTAGTTTTGAATTCTTAGAGAATAAGATTATAAGAGAATGAAAGAGTTTACACATGTATTTACTCTTAACTTTTAAAAGCTCCTGATGATCAGAAAAGCAAAGGTGATTAGAACTTCATCTTGTGAGTGATTAGTATGAAAATTCCATGTTAGTGAATTTGCCTTAAACTTATTTCTTAGATGGCCGTGCTTTCTCTGTAAGAAGTGTCTTCGTTTCTAGTGGCAGGCTTAAAGTTTGACCACCTATCCTTCTGTTTCTGGGTAGAAACCTGCATTTGAAATAGCTGGAGCACTGGGTTGCAAGTTCCTTTCATTAAGGTTACCGAAAGAATTGGCTTTGGGCAGGTGATGAATCTTGGCATCTCTGCTTGTTTACTAGAGTAAAATCATGTTGAACCTGAAAATCAAGTATTAATAATTCTGAGAAATTATAGGAAAACCCTCAGATGTTTTCAATTAAGGACAATTGAGGACAGTAATCAGTAAGTTAAAAAAATAATTTAAAGCAGAGTTGGAATCATAAGCATAATACATACTTTGGATATTTTATTTCAACCTAAAGTTTATAAGTGTGCGTTCATTCACTTATCTTTTTCTTTTTCATTCTCCACTTTTTTGATACAAGGCCAAAGTCTTTCCTCGTAGTATGATTTTGTTGATTCAGTGTTGCTTTGTCTTTCTTCATGAACCAAATCCGTAATGCAGTGTCTGTAGTTTCTGGTTTCATTTTCTTTAAAGTGGAGAAAGTACTTAGGTTTTTGCAAGGCAAACTGCCGAATTCTTGATTTTGACAATTTTCCTCAACATTACTTATGCTTCTACCAAACTTCAAAGTATCAAGTATCTCCAAAGTTATATTTTCTTTAGGAAGAACAACTTTTATTTTCACACTTATATTTAATTACTTTTTGCTTTAAATTTCAGTGAATTTTCAGCATTTTGTGACTGGCTTTTTTTTTTTTTGCCATCTGTATTGGTAATAATCAGTTTTTAAATGTCCTTATTGAATTTTATTTAAATTAGTTTTGAATTCTTAGAGAATAAGATTATAAGAGAATGAAAGAGTTTACACATGTATTTACTCTTAACTTTTTTAAAGTTTTAAGTGTAGGAATACAGCCCTTTAACCCAATTGAATATCCAGATGCTCTGAAAACCTGAATCTTTTTCATAATTTATTTGGTAACAAAACCTGAGCTGACTGTATTCACTCAACTCTTGACATGAAGTTGAGTGAAATGATAGTGTTGATTGATCTCAATTAGTGTGATTCGTAGTACACTTCATTCTGGAAGTATCTATGTGTTAATTGTAGGATGCTACTACACGTCTTGCTTAATCCCTTAATTAAGTTCATGTACCTTACTACCCTTTAGGGTATAATGTTGTGAATTGTGCAACACATTACCTAAGGATTTCAGGTAAGAAAGTGAGGACCTGTAACTGCTGAGTAAAGTGGGCGCTGTCAGACAGCTTCTTCCTTTCAGTAGCTTGTCTTTGTTTTGTTGATGGTCTCGTTTGCCATGCAAAAGCTTTTAAGTTTAATTAGGACCCATTTGTTTGTTTTTGCTGTATTTCTTTTGCTTTAGGAGGTAGATCCAAAAAAAATATTGCTGCAGTTTGTGTCAAAGAGTATTCTGCCTGTATTTTCCTCTAGGACTTTTATAGTAACAGGTCTTACATTTAGGTCTCTGATCCATTTTTGAGTATATTTTTGTTCAGTTCAGTTCAGTTGCTCAGTAGTGTCTGACTCTTTGCAACCCCATGGACTGCATCATGCCAGGCTTCCCTGTCCATCACCAACTCCCAGGGCTTTCTCAAACTCATGTCCATCCAACCATCTCATCCTCTGTCATCCTCTTCTCCTGCCTTCAATCTTTCCCAGCATCAGGGTCTTTTCCAGTGAGGCAGCTCTTCACATCAGGTGGCCAAAATATTGGAGTTTCAGCTTTAGCATCAGTCCTTCCAGTAAATATTCAGGACTGATTTCCTTTAGGATGGACTGGTTGGATCTCCTTGTAGTCCAAGGGACTCTCGAGAGTCTTCTCCAACACCACAGTTCAAAAGCATCAATTCTTCAGTGCTCTGCTTTCTTTATAGTCCAACTCTCACATCTGTACATGACTACTGGAAAAATCATAGCTTTGCCTAGATGGAACTTTATCGGCAAAGTAATGTCTCTGCTTTTTAATATGCTGTCTAGGTTGGTCATAGCTTTTCTTCCAAGGATCAGATGTCTTTTAATTTCATGGCTGCAGGCATTGTCTGCAGTGATTTTGTAACCGCAGAAAATAAAGCCTCTCACTGTTTCCACTGTTCCCCCATTTATTTGCCATGAAGCGATGGAACCGGATGCCATGCTCTTTGTTTATTGAATGTTGAATTTTAAGCCAGCTTTTTCACTCTCCTCTTTCACTTTCTTCAGGAGGCTCTATAGTTCTTCTTCCCTTTCTGCCATAAGGGTGGTATCACCTGCATATCTGAGGTTATTGATAATTCTCCAGGCAGTCTTGAGTCCAGCTTGTGCTTCATCCAGCCTGGCATTTTGCATCATGTACTCTACATGTAAATTAAATAAACAGGGTGACAATATACAGCCTTGACATATTCCTTTCCTGATTTGGAACCAATCTGTTGTTCCATGTCCGGTTCTAACTGTTGCTTCTTGACCCTCATAAGGTTGTTTTTTGGTATATGGTTCTTGTATATGTTATTTTTGTATATGGTGTTAAAGAATGTTCTGATTTCATTCTTCTACATCTAGCTGTCCACTTTTCCTGGCACCATTTATCGAAGAGACTGTCTCTTCTCCATTATATATTCTTGCCCCCTTTATCATCGACCATAAGTGTGGCTTATTTATGGGCTCTCTGTTCTGTTCCATTGATCTCTGTGTCAGTTAGTTTTTGTAGCAATACTATACTTCTGGTGACTGTAGCTTTGTAGAATAGTCTGAAGTCAGGGAGCGTGATTCTTCCAGTACTCTTTTTCTTTGTCAAGTTTGTTTTAGCTATTCGGAATCTTTTGTGTTTCCATATAAATTTTTTAATTATTTGTTCTAATTCTGTGAAAAATGTCACTGGTATTTTGATAGGGATTGTATTGAATTTGTATATTGCTTTGAGTAGCATGGTAATATTAACAATATTAATTCTTCCAAACCAGGAACACAGTTTATCATGCCATCTGTTTGTATCATCTTCAGTTTCTTTTATCAGTGTCTTATAGTTTTCCAAGTATAGGTCTTTTACCTCCTTATGTAGGTTTATTCCTAGGTATTTTATTCTTTTTGATGCAGTGGTCAATGAGTTGTTTTCAGTTTCTCTTTCTGATAGTTCTTCATTAGTATATAGAAATGCAACAAATTTCTGTATATTAATTTTTATTATTTATTTATTTTATTATTTAAATATTTTATTATTTATTATTTATTTTAATTATTCATAATCATTAATTTTAAATCCATGAATTTACTGAATTCATTGATGAGCTGTAGGAGTTTCCTGGTAGCATATTTAGAATCTTCTATATATAGTATCATGTCATCTGCAGGCAGGGAGAGCTTTACTTCTTGTTTTCCAATTTGAATTCCTTTTATTTCTTTTTATTCTCTAATTGCTGTGGCTAGGACTTCCAAAACTATGTTGAATAAAAGTGGCAAGAGTAGACATACTTGTCTTGTTCCTAATCTTAGAGGAAATTCTTTCACTTTTCACTCTTGAATATGGTGTTAGCTGTGAGTTCATCATATATGACCTTAGGTTTCTACTGTGTTGGAACACAGTTGTTCCTCCTGTGTTCACTTTCTGGAGAGCTTTTTTTAATCACAAATGGATTTCAAACTTTATCAAAAGTTTTTTCTGTTATCTATTGAGATGATCACATAGTTTTTATTCTTCAGTTTGTTAATGTGTATCACATTGATTGATTTGTAGTTATTGAAGAATCCTTGTTATCCCTGGGATGAATCCCACTTGATCATGGTGTGTGACCCTTTTAATGTGTTGTTGGATTTGGTTTGATAATATTTTGTTGAGGATTTTTGCATTTACATTCATCAGTTATATTGACCTGTAATTTTCTTTTTTTGTGGTATATTTGTCTGGTTTTGGCTTCAGGGTGATGCTGGTCTCATAGAATGAGTATGGAAATAACAGATTTTTAGTCAAGTTGTTTCCATTGAAAATACTGATTTGAGGACTTCGTTGGCAGTCTGGTGGTTAAGATTCCACACTTCCAGTGCAGGGGGCACAGGGCTGATCCCTGGTCCGGGAACTAAGATCTCATATGCTGTGTGGCATGGCCAAAAAAAAAAAAGTACAGATTTTAAAAGCTAATAACTTAGAACTCATACACAAAACAAATGGTAGAAAACCTATTGAATGGGAGAAAGCATTTGCAAATGCTGCTGCTGTTGCTGCTAAGTCACTTCAGTCGTGTCCAACTCTGTGTGACCCCATAGACGGCAGCCCACCAGGCTTCTCTGTCCCTGGGATTCTCCAAGGTAAGAATACTGGAGTGGGTTGCCATTTCCTTCTCCAATGCATGCATGCATGCTAAGGCGCTTCAGTTGTGTCCTACTCTATGCAACCCTATGGACAGCAGCCCACCAGGCTCCTCTGTCCACAGCATTCTCTAGGCAAGAATACTGGAGTGGGTTGCCATTTTCTTTTCCATTTGCAAATGATATGACCAATAAGAGGTTAATATCCAAAATATATAAATAATTCATACAACTCAACATCAAAACAAACAACCAGATTAAAAGCTGGATGGAAGTACTGACTAGACATTTTTCCAGAGAGAAAATGCAGATGGCCAATAGGCACATAAAAAGATGCTCACCATCACTTATCCTCAGAGAAATGAAAATCAAAGCCACAACTAGGTATCACCTGACACCAGTCAGAATGACTATCATAAAAAAGAAAAATACAAAAATAGCAAACATTGGTGAAGATGTGGAGAAAAGGGAACCTTCATACACTGTTGGTGGGAATGTAAGTTGGTGCAGTCACTGTGGAAAAGAGATTTCTCAAAAAATTTAAAATAGAGTTACCTTGTGACCCAATTGAGTTTATATGTGAAAAGAACAAAAATACTAATCTGAAAAGAGTCATGCACCTCAGTGTTCCTAGCGGCATTATTTACAGTTGCCAAGATTTGGAAGCAGTCTAAGTGTCCATCAGCGGATGAATAGAGAAGATGGAATGCTACTCAGCCATAAAAAGGAGTGAGATTTTGCCATTTGCAGCAACATGGATGGACTTGGAGGGCTTTATGCTAACTGAAAAAATTCAGAGAAAGACATATACTGTATGCTGTCATTTATATGTGGAATCTAAAAAATAAACTAGTGAATGTAGCAAAAAAGAAACAGACCTATAGATACAGAACAAACTAGTAGTTACCAATCGGGAAAGGGAAGGGAAGGTGGGGCAATTTTGGGGTAGGGGCAAAATAAAAACCCTGGTAATTATGAGATTATGTTAAATCACAGGTGAAAATTGTGAAGCACAGTGGAATTTAAAGACTCTTTCATTTAATTTAAAAGAAAGTTGGCACTGTCAGGCAACCCCTTCTTTCTTGACCATTCTTCCTTTGTTTTCAGTATCACCACACTTGCCTTTTTCCCTATTGCTTTTCTGGCATTTTCTTCTCAATTTCTTTCATTGTTTATTTTTACTCTGTCTCTCCCCTAAGTTTAATTATTTTCCCTGTGTTCTATCCTTATGGATCTATCCTTATCCTTTTTTTTTAAATACCTGTCCTTGAACAAAATTACCTAGCACTTTAGCAATCACTTTTGCCTGGAGAATTCCTAGATCTACTTAGTTACCTTTGTCTTTGCTCCTGAAATCCAGACCCAGGTTTCCAACTGCCCACGAACTCAGCATGTCATAATTTAGTTCACAGTCAAAATCATGCTGCTCTGAAACTTCTCATCTCTACTACACTTCTCTGTATTCTTAAATAGTGGTGTCACCTATCTTCCATTCATCCAAGTTAGAAGCTTTGACAATCAAAACTTGGTAATCATCACCTCTCACTGTTTACATGTCCCTGCTTTCACCCCCTAAAAGTACATAATTAGTTTTCAAATCTTGTGATTTCTACTTCCAAGTCATTCTCAAATGCCTCTCCCTTGTCATTTGATTCCATATCATCTCTGTCCAGTGGTGTTATAGTAGTCATGTAGCTGAACACAGTGCTTACTATCCAAACACATGTTTTCCTGTGTTTATTGATAGTATTTGAACAGTTTTCCTAAAGCACAATTCTTATAATAGTCCCCTGCTCAGAAGCCTTAGAAACTCATGATTGCCTGCAGAAAAAGTCTGCTGAATTCAGTTCACATGGAATTTAAATTGTACTGTAACCTAATCCTAGTTAATTTTCCTAATCTTTTTTCTTCCTCCACCAAACTCCTCTCTATCTGTACACACAAAACTTCCTGATATCTAAACATTCCCATTTCTCGTGCTAGAATTAATCTCTTCTTTCTCTCTTTTTAAGTGTAGTATGACAGTCATAGAACATTCTTATGTGTTCATTTAACCTGTGTTTATTTACTTGAGGAGAGGGACTAGATTTTTTTTTCCCTTTACCTTTTTGTTTCTTTTAAACTTCTCTGCATAACTCAGAATAACATTTTGACTATAGTAAACAGAAATGTTGAATTAAAGAATTATTTGTGACTGAACTGATTTGGGTGCAGATTTTTTTTCTGCTAAAATTTTTGGGAATTTTGATAGTGGAAACATGGTAAGTAAATATTGTTTTGTTTTCTACATAGGAGTATAATAAGTTCCATACTTGCTATTGATTTTTTATTAAAAAACAAAACAAAACATAGCATTGAAGGATTTTGTTTTGTTCATTGGTTTTATTCTGTATTGGTTCCCCCAGGAAAAAAAAATCATATTAACGCCAGCCTTTTACATGTTTAATATTAATGTTTTAATATAAAAATAAGAGTTCAAAACAAACAAACAAAAAAGAGCTCTTTTTCCTTCTCCCCCCTTTGGCTAGGTGTGTAGTACGTGGATTGGAAGTGGAGTTGTCAGTGATCTCAATGATCTCCGCCGAGTACACAATCTGCTTGTTTCTTCACTGGACAAGGTTCAGGCCGGAAAGGGATCTTCCAGCCAACTGTACCGAGAGAGTGCTACAACCATGGAAAAGCTGGCTGTTCTCAAAGCGTGGGCAGAGGTAACGGCAGCCTGTTGTTTTTAACTGTTTCTCCATCCATGAGAAAATGTGCCACTACTCCTGTAGATAAAAAAATTCTGTTTGTTTTTTTTTTAAGCTGACCTTTGGTATAGAGTGCCTTAAAAAAATTTGCTATTTGCTTTCTCACTGAAATATATATACATTTATGTCTCAAAAGAGCTCATATTGAACCTTTGAAAATTAGCATTTCTAAATAGTGTTTTTTTTAATTTATTTATTTTAATTGGAGGCTAATTACTTTACAATTTTGTGATGGTTTTAGCCATACATTGACATGAATCAGTTTAAAAACATCTATATTGAAGAAGAGCTCTTCTTACTTACTATAGGAAAATTAAGTGGGGAAAAACCTGCAGATAATAAAAAACTAGAAAATGTGCCAAGAACCTTTTATTTGATTAAATTTCAGGAGACTTGCGGCCACTCACTGATTAGGCTGTAGGAGTTTATTTTGTCATATTTTTTTTTTTAATAGCTGTTTTTACCTCTTTTTATGCCCACATTATTTTTAAAAATAATAATACTGTTTTAATTTCACTTTTCTAAATCCCTTCTGCTAGTTACTTTCAAATTCTGCATGCAGGTATTTCAGGTATCTCTTTATTCCTTCCTCTGCCAACCCAGTATCTTACTTCCCTATTTCCATGGTATCAGCAGCCTGGGACCACCCCACAGGCAATTGCTGGTTCAAAGCATACAACACCCAGATGATACAGTTTAGATAAAGGATCTCTGGGGTTTTGTGGATTTTTTTTTTTTTTTGTCACAGAAGAAAAGGAAAATTAGAGCAATAAAATACTGTAGAAATTAGTTTTCTTTCTGTTTTTTAGATCAAGTTGTTTTCATAGAGTATCCCTGAGTGTTCATTTATTTTTACCGTGCTACCATCTTTTGTCTTAGACGAGTAAAATAACATTTGCATTTGATAAGATGTTTGTTCTTACTGATAAAATCTTATCAAATTAATGCAAATGCATAATTTTATGTGGAAAGTAGTGTTAGAAAGATACTTATAATGTGATCGTTTTCTCACTTTGAGATTCACAGAAATTCTTTGTTATTTTCACATATCTAATTTTTAACTAAAAGTTACTATTTTTCTTGTCTGTAGAAATTACACCCAAATGATCAAATGATTTTTATTTTTAAAAAAATCTTTCAAAATTGTTGTTAATTCTCCATCCCCGTTCATTAATTTCCCAAACATAGAGACAGTTATGTAATTGGATAAGACCATTTGCCAGTTAGCTGGTTCTCTGCTGACTTGCATGAATGTGCTTGATTTACCTACTAGGTAGTCTGGCACAGTTCAGTATAAAAAGCATTAAATGTTGAATCACAGACCCTACAGCAAGTTCTGTCTCTGTAATTCACCATCTTTTGTACTTTGATCAAGTGAGTTGATCTCTCAGATACTCAGTTTCTTTATCATAACATGGAAGTACAATAATGTTTTCTAAAGTGACATGTATTAAAAAAACCAAGTATTGTAACTGGCACTGAATAGAAAATAAATAATTACTTTTAACAAATTAGATGAAAACTTCATATAACTAATTTATTAATGCACACTTTTGTTTGAAACTCTTTTCTTATTTTGGGGTAACTTGGTTCTATAATTAAATAATTACACTTCAGCCCTCAGCTTATAATATTGTCAGGTAAATCTTTTCCTTGCTTAACTTCCTTTCCTTCATCTTTTTACCTCAAAAGGCCCAACATATTCTAGATTTCTCTGTTCAAGATCTATCTTTGCTTCTGCTTTTTACTCAGAAAAGAGAGGATGTTAGTTTTCCAGCTCCTCAGATTGTTACCTTCAGGTCTTGAGATCTATATGAGTTGATAACTGTCCTTTTACCTGGGTGGCTTGGGTGAATTCTTTACCTGCTTCTCTAAACCTGGTTTCTCAGCCCTAAAGCGTGGATAATAATTAGGCGCATTTCATAGAATTACACTGTGAAGTAAATGAGACTTCATTGTGAAGTAATAAGGACTTCATTCAATAACTACCTTATTTATATGCTTAGTGAATGCTGCCTGCTGTTATTAGTATAATTATTATTATTATTTGAAAGTTTTCCTCTCATTTAGGATTCCCTTTTCTCAATTTTCTTTCCTAATCTGATTCGTTCAACAGGGTGTTAAGTGAACATTAGCTCTGTGCCGGGGTAGCAGTTGATAATACAATAGCACACAAGCCGGATGTTCCGCACTTACTGAGGAAAACCAACTGGTGGACTAGTATGTGAGACAGAAATAGCGAGTGTTACAGGAGAAGTGCAGACTGTTGTGAGCACACAGCAGAGGCACCTAAAATAGTCTGGGGGTTCAGAGGAGGCTTCCTGGAGAGAGCAACACTTAGCTGGGACCTGGAGCATGAGCGCAGATGTCAGTAAGCATGAGTCTGAGGAGGTGACTATTCCCAGCTAGGTGCACCCAGTTTCCCCCCGCTTCTATATCTCCCCATCTCCCTCTGCGTGCTCTTCCTCTCTCCTTACCTTCGATGCTCCCCAACTCAGCTTCCTTTTCCGCTCACTCTCCTCTTCACATCTCAGTTCACGGAAGGAGTTTCAGTATCTTCACGTCCTTGGCTGCTGAGTCACCCACTTCTCAATCCCCTGCAATCTAGGTTTACTCTCACCACTCCACTGAAATTACTAAAGTTACAAATGATATAATTCTCCAAATCACTGGACCCTTTTCAGTTTCTGTCTGACTTGGCCTTTCTGCAGCTTTTGATATTGTCTCCTCTGGAAACTCTGTTTTCCTTGACTTCCTGACCCTACTCCCTTGCTTCTCCTGTTTCCTTTTCATTGTTCATTCTTAGCATCACTTGCTGGCTTCTCTTTGCCTGCCTGCCCTTCAAATGTTGATATTTTTCTTGTCCTTTTTCTCGCTCTTCATACTTTATGGGTAACCACACCTACACCCACACCTTGTAGCTTTTACATGTGTATGAAATATTCTAAATCTACTTTCCTACTCAGACCTCTCTCCTAAATTCCAGTCCCATACTTTCAGCTATTTATTAGACCTGTAGAAAGTATTGTAGTATTTACTATTGAAAAACATCTGCATGTAAGTGGACCTACGCAGTTCAAACCTATGTTGTTGAAGGGTAACATAGGTAGCAAAACACTTTTCTAAAACCGTACCCATTAGTTTACTGGTTTATCCTAAGGAATGTCAAGAATATACACTGATTCTGTTGTGAGGATGTTTGTTGTGATGTTGTTTATCATTCTAAAGAAAAGCAAATAAATGTATTTCTTGATCCAAAGATGATGGTATTAAATGAATAGGAAATTGAGTTAAAAATTATATACAAACATATTATTGTTTAAAAGACTGTGAATATGTATATACAGTGTGTCTAGCATGTTCACAGTATTACGTCTGGGTAGTAGGATTGTGTCTGGCTTTATTTTCTTCATGTTACTTGTGCATCTGATTTTTCTATATTTCTTGTGTACTTTCTCGTAAGAGAAATAAACCCTAAATTTCTTATAAAAACAAGTCAAAAAATATATTTTCATATTGCAGGTAGCAATGTAAAATATATGCCCCTTTTAGAAAGCATTTGACAGTGTCTGTTCAGAGACATGGAAGTATTTATAATCACTGACCCAGTCATTCCATTTCTGGGACTTTATCCTAGGGAAGAATATTCAAAATATGAAAAAGAGAGACACTGACAAAAATGTTTGTTTGGAACACTCATAATGTGAAGAACTGAACACCTTTGTCCTTGAAAACTATGCCTCATCTTCTAAGATTCCCAGGGCTGAAAAGAATTTTAAAAAATATAAAATTTCAAATACAGGAAAACTGTTAGATATATAATGTCTTCTATTACTGCTGTTAAAAATAATAGTTATGAAGACTAGTATTTATATGGAAATCCTTTTATAAAGTTAAGATTAAATACAAAATTCTCTGTACAACAAAATCACAGCTTAGTTGGAATGTGAAAACCTGGAAATTAGAATTATGAGTAATTTTAATAACTCTTTTAAACTTTTCATGTGTACTTTTAAATCTTTATTTATTTATTTTATTTGTGGCTATGCTGAGTCTTCATTGCTGCTCGAGCTTTTCTCCCATTGCAGCGAACGGGAGCTATTCTCTTAGTAGTGGTGTGTGGGCTTCTCATTGCAGTGGTTTCTCTGGTTGTGGAGCACAGGCTTTAGAGTGTGCAGGCTTCAGTAGTTGTGGGCACGGGCTTGGTTGCTCCGTGGCATGTGGAATCTTTCCAGACTAGGGCTTGAACCAGTGTCTCCTGCTTTGACAAGCGGATTCTTTACCACTGAGCCACCAGGGAGGCCCCCAGTATAATTTTTTAAATAGAAGTTGAGGAAAAGTACATACATGTGACCTTTAAATCCTACATTGACTCTACTTCCCCATTACCAACAGAGTAAAATCTTCAGCTCCTTCTGCCTTGCATGCTATGCTCAGTCTATTACCGAACACTGGGAATTTGCTTGGAATGCCTTGCCGTTTCCTGTCTCTTGTGCTCTTGCTCTGGATACTCCATCTGCCTGGAATGCCTACTTCCATCTTTGCCTGTCAACAGGTGAACTTTTGTCTTTGAACTGTGTCTTGCCTTTTCATATTCCATTAAGATTCTTTATCTTTGGTGCTCCCTCTGATTCATTCATTACACAAACCACGAGTGTTTGTTAGGTGCCAGGCAATGGATGTGGTCACAGCTCATAGTAAGATGGGAAGATAGGTCATTTAAAACAAATTTTAAAAAATGTCCCTTCTCTCACCTCTTTTTTCACTCTTCTATCATTGTATCAGTCTGTGAGTTCATGGCAGTGAAAACCACATGTGATTTGTCTTTGTTGCCTCAGATCCAAGCACAATAGCAAATGCAAGGCAAGAGTAGGTACCTAAGAAGAACTTGATGAGTGAATGGCTGAGTATACTTACAGTGTTTATTGAGAGAGACATTTTCTTATATCAACATTATAATAAATCTAAGGGAAGAAAACAAGCTTAAAACCACTAAAAATATGAATATGGTATGTTTATAACTTGAGATTCAAAGTCCCTATTCCAAAAGTTAGATGGTTTATGCTTCTAAATTGTCAGGTATTAGTATGACTAACCTACTATAACTAACTGATATATAAGACCACCACCGTGTTAAGGAATGCTTCTTCTCAGAAATGAAGATTCATTGTTTCCTGTCATCATTGTCTAAACTTAGTCAATTACTGTGCCATAGCTGTCTGCTTGTTGTAGGGATAGAGATAAGACCCTGTCATCAAGAAGTATCCCTGGTTCAGATACATAGACGTCCTCTTATGTACAATGGAAATAACTGTGTATGGCAAACATTTTTCTAAAGGTACCTCGTGCAATTTTCTGTGGTTCTCTTACTCCCTTGACCGCCCCTCCGCCCCCCCTTTTTTTTTTGCTTTTTCATGGATGTGTGATTCAGCTAGGTGCCGGTTGCCAAAGCCAAAATGTATGTATAGCTACAAAAGAATACAAACAAAAATAACTTTGGCAAATTTCAGAAGTTGTTATTATATATCCTTTTGGTTTACAAAGTGGAGAGAAAAGATATAGATAATATATATAGCCAGTAAATTATATTATTCCTGGCTGAACTATCTGTTACAAGGACTAGATTGCTAAATATCACTTAAGCAGTCTAAAAGAAGGGATTTTGGAGGATATTAGTGGAAATCCAGGTTTTGGTTTCTCTTTCCCCACCCCTTAGCTTTTTTCTTTGAATGCCGTCTGATTGTGTCTAATAAGCCGGTGAAAGCAAATGCAGTAAACAGGAAGTTATACCCTATGGCAAAAAAAAAAAAAAGAAAACCACATATAAAGGGGGACTTTGTAAAGTAGAACAAGAGAAGCCAGAAAAAATTCAGAGAACCCTACTCAAGGAATGTGCTGTGAGAGCAGTAGGCAGAAGTCAGATCTATTAAAAAAAAGATTGCCTCCAAACTAGGTGGGATTATTCCTTAGAGGATATCAGGAAATTCTGAAGTTGTATACTTTCTACTAATAGTACTCGGTTACTTGCAATGATTCAACTGTATCATGGTGGTGGTGGTTTGGTCGCTAAGTCGTGTCCGACTCTTGCGACCCCATGGCTGATAGCCTGCCAGACTCCTCTGTCCATGGGATTTCCCAGGCAAAACTACTGGAGTGGGTTACCGTTTCCTTCTCCATATAATCATAACAGCTTGGAATATGTTATTTCTTAATATTGTATCTTGTTCTTTTCTCCTCGTGAATATCTTAACAGGTCTATGTGGTTGCTATGAATATTAAAAAAGAAGCAGAGTCAAAACCAAAGAGAGCAGTTAAAAATACTGATGACGACGACGATGATGACAGTACCATAGATGAGCTGCCGCCAGATAGTTTAATAACACTCGTCCAGCCTGAACTGCCAATACTCAGTCGCCTGTGGTTGGCAGCATTAAAAGACTACGCGCTTTTAACTTTACCAGCTGAATTCGCTAGTCAGCTCCCCCCAGATGGTAAGTACTGCGTTCAGTTTTGCTTTTAATGGAGTTCAAAATAGTAATTAAACAAAATGGAATTGGTGGAGACTGGCCACAATAATAATAACATCTTAAATTTCTGTGGACTTAAACTTGATATTCTGTCCGTACTGAAGTTATAAATTCAGATACAGCATTAAACTTACTTGTCAGCCCAAGTAAAAGCTTTCTCACTGTTACAGTAATAACCGTCTGAGCTGGGGCACTCTAAATAACTGCGTAAGGAGTTATTATGCATAACCATGATGAGGTATACCACTGTGTTGGTCAGTATGTGTGTGCCAGGGCAGATGTGGAAGTCCTCCGTTTGATAGTAAAAGCAGGAAGAGGGGAAGAATTTGCAGAAGAGTGGAGGAGAAAAAAGAGAGACGGAGTCCCCTGGCTGTAAGAGAAAGGAAAGGTGATGCGGGTTTTAAGAGTTGCTGGCCACAGTAAAGGGGAAGCCTATGGCCATGGGTGGAGCAGGCAGAGGGCGCTCAGAGGCGTGGACACTTGCAGAGGAAAGGCTGGAAATGCTGGCATCAGTCACGGGGAAGTGATAGGCACTCCAGATCAGCAGCTGTAGGAATGACGTCGGTTTTGGAGACCCTTGGGAGAAACTCTTTGGCCCCCAGCCCCTTCCACCCTCCACCTTGTGAAGACAGCAAGAAGGTACTGGCTGTCAACCAGGAAGAAGGCCCTCACCCAACCGTGCTGGCATCTTGACCTCAGACTTACAGCCTCCAGAACCATGAGAAATAAATTTCTGTTGTGTAGCCACTCAGTCTGTGCTATTTTCTTAAAGCAGCTCAAGTGGACTAAGACAGTATGTAACAGGTATTTTTAAAGGAAGTTGTTCTTAAATGAGTGAATACGTATAATAGAAGTAATGTTTCTGATTGATTTGATTGTTTTATAGGTGGAGCATTTTATACTCCTGAGACTATTGATACGGCTAGACTTCACTATCGGAATTCCTGGGCCCCAATCCTCCACGCAGTGGCACTTTGGTTAAATAGCACAGGATTTACATGTTCAGAGTCAGCAGAAGCAGCAGCAATATCAGCTTTACAAAAACGTTCCATACCGGTCAATATAAGCCAAGCATCAGGAGCAACACCTAGTGCTAAATCTTTGGCAGAAATTAACAAAGACAGAATGCATCTGATTTTAGGTAGGTGAGCCATGTTAATGTATCTCGAGATTTATTACTTCTGAAAATGTGTATATTGTAAGGGAAAAAAAACTGCTTTCTACCATCTTAAGTTCTGTGACTGGCTTAAGAATTAAACTGACATAAGACACATTAATAGGAGAAAAGCATATGAATTGATTTAAAACTTTTACATGTACATAGGAGGAAAATGAAGACCTCACGAAGCTTTTAAGTCTGAAAGATTGTATACAGTTTTACACAAACAAGAATAAATTGTGAGGATCTGACAAGACAAAGGGCTGGGGTCAGGGATGATAAGTTGTACAGTAACGAAAACGTATATGGGGGAAACTAATGGAAAATCGGGACTTCCTTGATAGCTTAGCAACAAAGAATCTGCTTGCCAGTGCAGAAGATGCGAGTTCGATTCCTGGTCTGGGAAGATCCCCTGGGGAAAGAAATGGCAACCCACACCAGTATTCTTGCCTGGGAAATTCCATGGACAGCAGAGCCTGGTGGGCTACAGTCCGTGGAGTCACAGGAGTCAGACACAACTTAGCCACTGAACAACAGTAGATCGGGCTTATTTTAGTAGGTTTGTTTGGATAGGTCTATTTCAACATCGACTTGCAGTCTCAAGAAGTAAAAATATTCTTTCCCTGATACAGGGAGGGCATCTTTCTAATGAGAAATTTTATGACTTGCTTTTGGGCAGAAACGGGGTCAAAGACCCCTGCCTGCGTCTGCAATTTCTCAAGTGTGTTCAGCCAAGAAGGTATATTTTGGTGTGGCATGTTTTGAACTCCTTCATATCTTTCATTTTATTGCCATGGAAAAAAATTTTACAGTATAGTTCAGATAAGAAATAGTACAAACAGGTGTTTTTTTCTTAACACATTTTCTAAATTAACTGAATTTTTAATAGAAAAATTTAATTATTAAATTACTCCTTAAAAATTCTCTATCATGTTCACTCACTGAGCAATACTGAATAATTTTCAAGGAAAAAGTTAAACTTTTTTTTTTATATGTTTTCTTTTTACTTGACACTTAAATTATCCTATGAGGAAATATAATATAAATTTATATTTACATTATAAGTGTAATACATACATAAATTGTGTATATATATACATTTATATATATATACATATGTAAATGTATATATGCATATAAATGTAAAATTAAAGCAAATTTGAGTAATTGTTATTTCTAATTATTATATAGATTCTCTTGTAACATTTAAGAATTTGCAATCATTTATCATAATCTTATAATTTTCATAAATTTATTCTTAATATATTATTTTTAAATGTCTTTAAATAGCTTCTTAATCAACCTGATGACCTTGGAACTCCGCCACTTGCTTCCAGTGTGACTGTTAGCCTCATTCCAAGGCTACAACCTATGTTAAGTTTGGCTGTTTATTTTGACAATAATTTTGAACTCACTTTAAGGCATTAATAAATGTATGTTAAAGTGAGCTGTAAAATAAGTAGGTAAAAGAAAAAAAAATGGTGTCACAGCAACAAAGTGTTTTATATTAAAAAAGCTATGTGTTTATTTTGTATATTACAGGTGTGAGTATACAGTTCCTTTGTTCCCCAAGACCTGAGGAGCCTGTTGAACATGTTACAGCTTGTCTACAGGCCTTACACACCTTGCTAGATTCTCCTTATGCCCGAATCCATATTGCAGAAGATCAGGTGCAGTGTATTTCTATAATAAATAATTTATGCTTTGTATTCATCATATTTATCTTATGGTAATCTTCTCACATATGAGATAAATATATAATAAATGTTGAGGATTTTGGCTTCATCTAAGACCTTATATTGAATGCTGGATGACCAGACATGCTAGACTAGAGATCATCACTATGCCTTCTTTGATGAGTTCATCAGCAGTCAAATATAACTAAAAATGTAAGGGATCCCCTCAGTCCCAGCTAATGGTTCTGCTAGTAAAGGGCTGAGTTAATTCCTAAGGCTATTAAATAAATTTGGGATTTCCTGATGGCTCAGATAGTAAAGAGGCTGCTGCAATGCGGGAGACCCAGGTTTGATCCCTGGGTTGGAAAGATCCCCTGGAGAAGGAAATGGCAAACCACTCCAGTATTCTTGCCTGGAAAATCCAAATAAATTATGTTACTTTTAAATGTTTAAATAAACTTGATCTCATTTAATAAGGTTTTTGCACTGGCTCAGGTTCTCATTTAAGAAGTTTAATGAATTGTGTTTTCTAATTTTTGTATGGAATTTTTAGAGGATTTTATTCATGTTACAGAACCAAGTTTCCACTGGACTTTTTTTTTTTTTAGGAAGTCTTTTATTTTCATAATAACCATTTCTTTGGATACCATCACTACAAATAGTACCTCTTGGGATAATTTTCTATAAAACACAAAAAGATAAAAAAAATAAAGTTCTTATTATTGGGTTCTCTTAAAGTTAGTTTTGTACATGATGCTGCTCAATAAAAAAACAAAAAGCCCACATGAAACAAAACAAAGTATGTGCTGTGTGATTATAGGCATCAGTTACTGATGAACTCATCTTGTACTCCAGCCTTGCAGCTTAAAGCTTGGGCCTCAGCTAGACTACAGATTACCACAAGAAACTTGAAGGTTGTTTTCACATAGTCAAACCAATAAAGTTTAATCTGTGAATGAAGGTGTGTGACATGTTAAAATTGAAATAATTGGGTGTAAATGCAGTAGATTAAATGACATGGTTAAATGTGTATTTCATAAGTACAATAGACATAAATTTGACCTCTCCATCAGTTTTATAGTGGTTGATTTTTAAAACATGAGAAGGAAGAAAGGAGGTCAATTCCGAGGCTGTTTTCATAATTCCAGAGAGACAAATGAGTTCACTGGCCTCGGAAAACTGAATAAAAGAAGAAGGAAACAGGACCAAGACTGGAACCTTAGGGATAAATAACAAGTAAGGGTTGAGGTGAGGGAAATTAATCAGCAGTGGAGACTACTGGAGAGACAGGAGGAGAACCAAAGAGAACAGTTATCAAAGACAAGAGAGTGTCAAGGACAGACAAGTCTCAGAGGAGCAGGATCCAGAAGTCAGGACAGAAGAGAGTCCCAGGAGGTTATTGGTGCCCTCAGGCAGAGCACGTTCTCAGGTGGATGGAGCCAGATCAGAGAAGTTTGAGGAGTGAATGAGGGGGTGAAGGGAGTGGCATCTTTCCGTCTGGGGAGGGAAGAGGCAGGACAGACAGGAGAGATCATGGAGGCAGAGGGAAGGACGTGAGGGTTTTCTGAGGTGTGGAGGGAAATTAGATAGGAAAGACTTGAGCAGCTGCTTATATCGGGAAAGAGAAGCTTAGCTTAGCCTATCTATGATATATGCAATATGATTGGGGTCCTTGAAGAATCCTTGGGAAGTCAAACAGGATGGAAGCATGTGAGAAAAGAATTATCAGCCTCAGACAAGGGGCTCATCTTGATCTTAAGGAAAGAGGTAAAGATGGCTTTGCTTGCAATTTAATTTTTTCTCCCTCTCTGAAAGAGGGAGGTTCATTGGATGGGTTTGATGTGGAGATTGTGAGAAGCTTATGTGAATAGTGAGTGGTTAAAGTTTGTAATAGTTCTGAGATGAATCTTGGAGCGACTTGTCAGCCTGCCTAGAATTTCTGGTGGACTACTCTTGAGTACTCAGAAATCATAGAAATCATAAATTTTAGTGGCACTGAACACTAGCAGTGCTGTTTAGTCCAAAAGAGGAAAGAAATATTTTAAGTGGAAAAATCATTTAAATATGTAATGAAGTAATTTTTGACTGAAAATATGTTGGGATGAAATATGACCATTTTTCAAGATTGTTATAATATTTGCTGCATATTTTATGTATTAACTTTAGCTACCAAATCTATGTATTTTTATATGCATATTTTCCTAGGTCTAATAATATAAATATATCCTTTAAATTAATTTGATTTCTCTCTTAATTTATAATAGCTGATTGGTGTTGAGTTACTGAGTGTTTTACACCGCCTGTTGCTGACCTGGAACCCACCATCTGTCCAGCTGCTGGTGACTGGAGTTGTACAACAGATCGTAAGAGCTGCTCAGGATTATTTGCAAGAAAAAAGAAACACACTAAGTAAGCACAAGAAATTATACTAAATTTAAAGTAGATTTATTTCGCTTCTAATTTTTCAAATATTAATGTCAGGAAGCTTTTCATGAAAAAATTTAACCATACATTTAAGAGATTGCAGTTGATTTTACTTTCATTAGAATAACCCAAATGAAATTGCTCATATTCAACTATTTTTCACCTACAAAAGTGTTAACTTCCTGTGTTTCAAGCCTAACATGTGTGTTACTCCTATTATGAAATACATTCCTATTAAAAATACCTAATAAAAATTTTATTTTTAGTAAAGTAAAGTAAAAAATGAATTGTCTGTTACATTTAAGGAGAGGTCAATAAAAGTTCTAAGGCAGAGAATTATTCTGAGAAAGACATGGCATCAGTTAGACATTTAGTTGTAAATTCTAAATTCTTTTGAAAGAACTTATTAAACATACTTACTGTGTTGTTATCTCTGTTATTTGTTATCCTTTCTGCTGGGAATTTCACCAAGATGAGGATGATATGGAAAAAGAGTCCTGTCCTGTATTAGGAGAAGGAGGTGACAGTGGTGGTCTCATTCCTGGAAAATCTCTTGTGTTTGCAACTATGGAGCTGTTGATGTTCATTTTAGTACGTCATATGCCGCATCTCAGTACCAAGATGTCGGACTCTCCAAGTCACATAGCCACCAAAACTCGACTGTCAGAAGAAAGTGCCCGTTTGGTGGCAGCCGCAGTTACCATACTCTCTGACTTACCGTCCCTCTGTTCACCTGCTGGTATGGTGTTGCTCTCTATTTGGAAATGTATTATACTGTATTAGACAGAGATGAGCTTGCCTTTGATTTTAAGTGCTATGATGATTTATTTTCCTCTTAAGTCTTAAAGGAAAAGTAGAACTTATTTTTAAGGGTTTGTTTGCTTTAGGAGCCTATGAAGACTTAAGATTTAAAAAACCAAAACCCTAGATGCCCTTTTCAGGTACATTTCAAAGAAACTTCGGCAAAGAGACAGACCCACAAGCTTGAGAGAGGACATCGAATGTTAGCAACTAGACATAAAGTGGAATTACTAAATCCTTTATTTTCTGATCTGGTTGCTGCTCCTGAGTCACACTAACAAACATGTCAGAAAAGAGTGACAACCAACTTTAAGGAGCAACTGTTAATTAAAAAATTATAGCTGAAAAATACAATAGCTGCCTGCAGATACTTGAAGAACTAGTGGATAGGAAAGTAGGCACTTGGTACTTCCCTGGTGGTCCAGGGGCTAAGGCTCTGGTCTCAATACAGGGGGCCCGGGTTTGATTCCTGGTCAGGGAACTAGATCCCTCATGCTTCAACTAAGAGTTTACATGCTGCAACTAAGACCTGACAAAACGAAACAAACAAATATTAAAGAAAATAAGAAAGGTAAACTTTTCCTCTGTTGTGTCTAGGAGATATATATCATATCAGAAGATATAAAGGTATCTTTCAGCTCAACACAAGCCTACAGATATGAAAACACTACTCCATTGAAGCTTCATAGGCATTCTACACTGGAGGCATGTCGCAGTGGTGAAGGGAGTCTTCTGTTAAGTGGGTGGTTAATTTGATTACCTGAAAGTTCTTTCAGCTACAAATCCTAGGATTCTTTCATTTCTTTTTGCCTTACCTGTATAGTCTTTTTATCAGTTTCCTGACTTGGTTAGTACATTGACTAACTTAGTACTAAGGCTCACGTAGTACAATGAGATTGATTACTTGTCTTAGAATTGCTACATGATTCACGAAGTTTCTCAACTACTTCTCAAAGTATTTGACAGTGTTTTCCTTCTGTGTGAAATACTAGAAGTAATTAAAAAAAAAAAAAGCAAGGCAAGTTAGGAAAAGAAAGAAAATATTGACGTCTTTGAAATAGCTTGTGACGTCCTTTTTATTTTTTTCAAACATTGAATTATAGTAATAGCAGTGCAGTAAATTTTGTATGAATACAAGGAAAAGAAGTAATATTAAACCATAGTTGGTTGTAAAAAGATACAAACAACTGAAACAACTATAATACAGGAACTGAAATAGTACAAGATAATCTGATTTGTTTTTATTTCAGGATGTATGACGGTCTTGCCCACAATTCTGTTTTTAATTGCAAGAATATTGAAAGACACAGCAATAAAGTCTGCAGATAATCAGGTTCCTCCACCAGTCAGTGCAGCTCTTCAAGGGATCAAAAGCATTGTGACACTTTCAATGGCCAGAACTGAGGATACTCAAAAGCAGTGGACAGCTCTAATTCGTAGCACTCTGGCATGCATCCTAGAATATTCCCAACCAGGTAATCTAGTCAGCTTTAAACTTTTTAATTTATTAGGATATTCGTTCCTTAATGACTGACTAAATGAGCCCATCAGAAAACTGCTGTATAACACTGAATCGACTCAGAGGGGTGTTTTAGTCCCATCTTTTAGATGTGAACTTTTAGTTCCATGTTTTGAGTATTGATGCTCGATGCCCTTGTCTTGGGTTTCCCGGGTAGCTCAAACGGTGAAGAATCTGCCTGCAATGCAGGAGACCTGGGTTCTTCCCTTGTCTTACCACTTACATACATGTTGGGAGTTTTCCCCCCAAAGAAAGAACATGTATATATAAAACTCTTAGATTGTAAATTGTTCTGAACTCCTCGGTAGTTGTCTATCATTTATATTTATCAGTTGTTGATTGTTCCCCTATCAATGGCCATTTTTACTATTTTTTATTTTTCCCAATTATAAAAATTGTCTCAGTGACCATCCTTATAAATTCCTCATGCATATGTGCTGAGATTTTCTATAGCATACCTCTAGAAGTGGAATTGATGACACATTTTAATTTTATCAGACATTGCCAAATTGCTGTCCAGAGCAGCTATATGAATTTGCACTTCCACCAACAGTGCATGATTCCCACCAATATATGATATTTCACACTTTTAAATTTCATTATCTGGTAAGTAAAACATGCTGTTTTATTGTTTTTACTTGCATTTCTCATTTGCCCCGTAAGTATAAGCATTTTTCATGTTTGTGTTTAATTTGGGGGGAAATGCTTAACATAAGCCTGTGAAAAATGACATGCATTAAAAGTAGGTGATAAATCCTAAAAGTTCTTATCAGAAGAAAAATATTTTTTTCTATTTCTTTGATTTTGTATCTACATGAGATGGAGGATGTTTGCTAAACTTATTTTGATAGTCATTTTGTAGTGTATATGAGTCAAATTGTTATGCTGTACGTTTTAAATTTATATATAGTACTGTGTGTCAATTAAATCTCAATAAAACTGGAAGAAAAAATTTTATAAAATGAAAGCTGAAAAAGATCAAAAACTGCAAATAATAATGTCAGTGTTAATATCATTTATGTACAAAAAAATCTTATAAACATTTAACACCCAATATAAGAAAGAACGGGCTTCTCAGGTGGTTCAGTGGTAGAGTATCTGCCTGCCAATGCAGGAGATATGGGTTCAGTCCCTGGGTTGGGAAGATGCCCTGGAGAAGTAAATGGTAACTCATTCCAGTCTTCTTTCCTGGGAAATCCTATAGACCAAGGAGCCTGACGAGTTACAGTCCATTGAGTCACAAAAGAGTTGGACATGATTTAGTGACTAAACAAGAGCAAAGAAAAAAGAGAACAGGCAATGGTAAGAAAGAAAGAGAAATGCCCACCAAGCATATAAAAAAATTGGCCACATTATTATATAAGCAAAGAAATAAAAACAAAATAATATAAATTTTTACCTGTGAAACTCATTTAACAAAAATATGTGAGTATGTACAGGTGAAATTGATGCCAGGAGAACATTTTCATACTTTTCTAAAGGGAATTTAAAACAGTTCAGACCTTCAGGGAATCATTTCTGCAAAATATACGAAGAGCTTTTAAGATTTCATACTCTGACCTTGATAAAAAACTTGTGTTCAAGTTTATTTATTACAGTCTATTTTATAATAAAGAAAATACAAAAGTGATAAATATAACTATTTGGCAGTAGGAAAGGTATTAAATATTTGTTATATACTCATTTGGATTATATATCCATTATATCTATTAAAAATCATGTTTATAAATAATTATATATAAAAGACTAACCCAGACCAGAAGAAATTAAACAAAAACCTAGAAATTAAACTTAAACTATCCCTGGATAGTAAAATATTACATTTTATTTTCTTTCCCTTACCCTTGTTAAATTTTAAACAAACCATATCCTACTTTTATTACCTGAATTTTTTTTAGATTAATATTTGGAGGGGAAACTTTAATTAGTTTTATTAATGTTACTAAAACTATTCTAATTTTATAATGAGTTAATATTTTGCTTTTTAAGGTAGATTTTTATAAGATAAAGAAACATGAAATGCCATAATTATATATGCTTTCATTTATATATGTGCTGTGCTTAGTCGCTCAGTCATGTCCAACTCCTTGCGACCCCATGGGCTGTAGCCCACAAGGCTCCTCTGTCCATGGAATTCTCCAGGCAAGAATACTACAGTGGGTTGCCATATCCTCCTCCAGGGGATCTTCCCAACCCAGGGATCGAAACCAGTTCTCCTGCATTGCAGGTGGGTTCTTTACCATCTGAGCCACCAGGGAAGCCCATGAATACTGGGGTAGGTAGCCTATCCCTTCTCCAGGGGGTCTTCCCAACTCAGGAATCTAACTGGGGTCTCCTGCATTGCAGGTGGATTCTTTATCAGCTGAGCTACCAGGGAATCCCTCATATATGTATACGCACATATATATACACAAATATTTCATTATTCATATATTTCAGAAGATTCTTTTTTTTTTAATTTTCTGTTAATTTAATTATTTCAGAAGATTCTATGCCTATGCCTGATGAAATAAGCATGCTAACAGCAATTGCACTTTTCCTGTGGTCTGCTGGTAGTGAAATAATAGGAGTTCAGTCACTGCAGAATGGCTGCATTTACAGATTTAAAAACGCGTTAAATTCATGTGACCCGTGGGTAAGTTACACTTAAAACATAATAGTAAACCTTCCACTCTATAAGAAAAATTTCAGATGGATTCATTAAAAATTTGCAAATGAAAAGTATTTGCTATATGAATTTTCCAGAAAACTAGAAAAGGTCACTGGTTAAAGCTTAGGAGAGACATGTATATGTTAATTTATATATGCAGAAATTCCCCAGTATCTAAAATACTTGCTCAATCCTGCTCTTTACTGGTAGACTTTACATGTTTCTCTTTTTCACTGTTTACTTAATCACACCAAGGACACTAAAAGATAAATATATATAATATTATAATGTGTTTTTACAGGGCTAATGGAAATTCTCATTTTTCTAAAAAATAAGTTTTATTGTTTTATAGTGTCAGCATCAAAACTAATGATTCTTAAACCTATTGAACAACAGGAAAAAAAGCAATCGAGTAACATCTACCACTATCTTCCTGAATCAGAGTCTTCCAGATGTGTGGTCCACAAATATGTATTTTTACAATATTCCCCAGGCATTTTTCTTTCTTTCTTTTGTGATGTTTAGTAGCTTCTCTCCTACCAAAGCACTGAAACAGTTTTTCCCACTTTGTTCCCTTACATCAATGAGTTGATGCACCTTCCTTTCTTATTTGTTTTTTTGCTTCTTATTAATATGAAGTCTTTCAAAAGTGGAGCCACTGAAACTACTTTGTAGGCCTAGAACACTTAAATTGGTTTAAGCATTTATTTCCAGAGAATCCAAATGGAGTTGAGGTGTCTAATATATTTTATAGCTTTATTTGACATCATTCAAATATTAGCCATATAAAATACGTTAGGTTAAGGTGAGAGGGACAATTGTAAATTAAAGAAAGAATTAAAACAAAAATTAGAATTCCTGGTATTTAATTTCTTACACAGTATAGAAATACAAAAATTATATAAGCAGTGGTAATTTGGGAGCTAACATATAAGGAATGTTTGATTAATTTCAATTTTATTTAGTTAGCATATTAGGAGTTTTATTACTCCATTCTATCAGTAGAAATGGCATTAATTCATCACATTTCTATTTTCATCCTGCAGTATTGCTTGTTTTCTGTACATATTAAGATGCAATGTAAAAAAAAAAAGTAAAAAAAAAAAAGATGCAATGTGATTGTAGAGCAAATAAGAACTGTCACACATGTAAATTAATGAAATTATTTTCTTGTATAGGTTCAAGCCAAATGTTACCAGCTTCTCCTCTCAGTTTTTCAGCATTCCAATCGGGCCCTTTCAACTCCTTATATCCATTCCTTAGCTCCACTAGTAGTTGAAAAGCTAAAAGCTGTTGAAAGAAACAGACCAGGCAGCAGTGCAGAGCTCTTAGCTGTTCAGGAAGGAATCAAAGTTCTTGAAACACTGGTTGCTCTTGGGGAGGAACAGAACAGTAAGTATTTTCCTCTAAGAAGCCGCTGGTCTGAAATGAAGATTTGTATTCCATATTAATCTCATTTGCTATTTGACACAGGCCACTGCAGCAGTAAATTTTCTAAAGGTTGTTACTATGTGAAAGCTTGATGTTTTTGCTTATGTTGCTAACAAAATTGAATTGATTTATATTTAAGAGCAAGAGTTTAAAATAAATTACGGATGCATTTCAACCCATGGGATTTTTTTTTTTCTAGGAAGGTACTCTTTAAGAACTAGAGAAAATATGGCTGTTTAATATATTTTAAAAAACAATACATTTTGGTGTTTGTAAGAGATGTATAAAAGCTTTTTAACAAATAGGACCAGTTTAGTATTCATGCTAAGCATCAGTATTAAAATACCCCAAAATTTAAAATTGTTTTTTAATTTAATGAAAAACCACCATATACATCTATTTAACCAGAGACTTATGCAACTTAATACTTACTCCTCTTTATCCCCTAAGCTTAGATTTCATCACAATCTAAAATTTATCTTTAAAAATATGACTTTTAATTGTTACAGAAAGACTGTACTTTTTAAACTAGTACCTTAGGATTGAATTGTTAAGCTGTTGCCAGTTTTTCAAGATCATCAATAACTGACATGAGTGTTCTTGTACAGATATCTTCGCACACTCCTTTTTTAAAAAAATTGACATTTTATTATCTGTGATCGTTCTGTTTTTTTTTAAATGAAGTAAATTTGCATTAACAGAATACAATAACAGTAGAAGTAGAATCTAGCAGTATAACTAGAATCATTTCTCTGGGGTCTTAACAGAACTCCAAAGTGTTGTGTCTGATTAGTAGACCCTTCCATTTTTCACAAACAGTGGTAGCAGTGGGACAGATGTTCTCAGATGCCTTGCCAGGTCCATGATCATTTACCCCCATATTCCAAAACAGAGTTTAAAAGATGAAGGGCCATCTCCTCCTGTGTGTTATTTCTATCAGATAATTTTTTTTAAGTGAAATTATTGGGTTGAAAGGAAGGCACATTTTTAAGACTTTTAATATATATTGCCAGATTACTCTCTGGGTAAAAATTGCATCAGTTTTTCTATCATAAAATTTTTCCTCTTCTCTTGAAAGAATTTCACAGAAGTTAGAAAGGTAGTGGAGCTTTTTAAAAAGCTGTTGCTGATAACTTCCCTTTAAAATGATAATCCAGAATTACTGCTGTGGAAGAGAAGAGTACAGATGTGATGGTGGGAAAAAGAATTGATCTGACTTGATGAGTATAGGTTATAGGGACAAGAGAAAGAGAAGAGCCAAATATTACTGTGTTACTTGGAAGAAGTATGGAAGCAGTCTTAAAATTGAAAAGTTCAGAAAGAAGAGCTGTTTGGGAGGAGCTGATAAGTTTAGTTGAAACTAGATGTTAACAGATTATTTGGATAGAAATGTTATGACTGACATCATGGCCCATGTTTGGTGACTCAGCATAATTTTGTCTTTATTTGTATTTTACTCAATGTAAAGTCCATAAACATACAGACTAAATCTTATTCATTTCATAATCTCAACATTGAGCTTATTGACTTTTGCATAGTTAGTATTAAAATATGTCTGACTTGAGTTGACTCTTGGGATCAATTCCTGAACAGATGTTCTAATTTAGGTAGGGAAGAGAGTCTTATACTTTTTCAAATAATTCTCTATTGTTTGAATTCTTTTAACAGCAAGAATATATTCATGTATTATTCATGAAATTAAATGTAGTTTAATAGTTAGATTTAACAAGGTTCATTTAATAAATAACCCTTTAATTTTCCATCTAAGAGTCAATTAATTTAAAGTATGAAATAACTGAGGCAATGTTGCTTCAATTCTCCAGCCAATTTCTAATATTTAGTATTAGTGGGCTGTATCAACAACAAGCACCATAATGATTTCATTTTTTAAAGGACTACTTCACTTAGATGTTTTGTACTATAGTAAGACTTCTAAGAGGTAGAATAAGCACTCGTCACTTTTTAAAAATTAATACTAAATCTGAGGCTAACTGCCATGCACAAACCAAAGGGAAATGGTTGTCATCACACTAATGTATACATTCACTCATTCCTTTGATGGTTTCTTCCTCCTAATGAATGCTTCAGGTTTCTGTTCCCTATTCCATTAAACCTCCAACCTTCCTATTCTGGAATACCTTTGAAATTTTCACAATTTTTTTTTCAAAATACATTTTACCAGTGGCATTTGTAAAATTGTTCATTTTTACCTTCTAGCCAGCATTTTAAAAAATAAAACAATTAGTATAAATGCAAAATATACAATCTTAACAGGAAATCAAACCTGATTTCCTGCCCTAATGTGGCGTGGAGAATTAGTAAATATTCAATATTAATAATGAATAATTATTGAGGTCTAAAATAGATTGTGTACAATTACTTCTGTTTTATTATAATTCAGGCTACTATGTAAGTGCCTAGTGTTTAAATAAAGGTTTACTGTAATTTTCAGATTCATGAACATCTTCAGACTTTATCTTTGTTATTTGCAGGAGTCCAACTACTTGCTCTTTTAGTTCCCACTTTGATCTCTTACCTGCTGGATGAAAATTCTTTTGCCTCAGCAAGCACAGCTTCCAAAGACCTCCATGAGTTTGCACTCCAGAATTTAATGCATATTGGACCTCTGTATCCACACGCTTTCAAGACAGTAATGGGAGCAGCTCCTGAGCTGAAAGTACGTCTGGAAACTGCTGTTAGAGCAAGTCAAGCTAGTAAGGCTAAAGTGGCCACCAGGCAGCCAGCCCCAGCTGTGCACTCTGCACCAACAATTAAGCTAAAAACAAGTTTCTTTTAATGTGCAATTCCATTCATTTTTGTTTATATTGTCAGTTAGAACCTAATTAGTGGTAACCACTGTATCATTCCAGCCTATAGGTTCAACTTTATTTGTATACAGTAATTACATGCTTCCGAGGTAGGGTAAGTGAAATAATGCTCACACTGGTGTCTAATTTTGAAGGAATGAGTTTTTTTTTTTATTGTGGTGAATGTGCTTTCATTTTTTTCCCTAATAATGTTTCTCTTTTATTACTTAATTTATTTTTTAAAAACTGAGCCATAATCTTTTAAATGCAAAATAATTGTATCATGTAGTTAGGTGGCCTATTGATATTGTCAGGGAAAAAATGGCATATTCAATAGCATTTGTTACAAAAAAAATTAACTGAAGAGCAAGCAGAATTTAAATTTTGAAGAAACAAAATAATGTGAAGTGTCTGTTTCATGGTGTATATATTAAGAATAAAGTTACATTTTCTTAGCATTTCTCAGAAAGTCCTTACCTTTCTGCTAGATCTTCTTGCTTTCATATTAGATTACTAAATTATGCTTGTGTATATTTTAGTTAACTGAATTAAAACTCTCATTTAAAGATCCATTAAAATGATTCAAATATGGAATAATGTTCTGGGTTTTTTAATGGCTACAATTTGGCCTCACGTACGCTTTGTAATTACAGACCCTTGAGTTCTGGCTCTGATGGTTGGTTTCATTCATCAAATATTAATATTGAGTGCCTACTATGTAGATGGCATCAAGCTAAGTGCTACAGGGCATACAAAAATGAATTAGTCATAATTATAGTTACACCAGTCTCTCATGCAGTGGGAATTTTACCACATCAAATAGATAATTGATGAATGAATGTTTGTCACACTGTTTCGTTCAGTTCAGTCGCTCAGTCATGTCCGACTCTTTGCGACTCCATGAATCACAGCACGCCAGGCCTCCCTATCCATCACCAACTCCTGGAGTTTACTCAAACTCATGCCCATCGAGTCAGTGATGCCATCCAACCATCTCATCCTCTGTCATCCTCTTCTCCTCCTGCCCCCAATCCCTCCCAACATCAGGGTCTTTTCCAGTGAGTCAACTCTTCGCATGAGATGGCCAAAGTATTGGAGTTTCAGCTTCAGCATCAGTCCTTCCAATGAACACCCAGGACTGATCTCCTTTAGGATGGACTAGTTGGATCTCCTTGCAGTCCAAGGGACTCTCA